TACCTGGAAACACTGGACGGCGATTTCGTTCTAGTGTAGGACTCCTCAGTAGTGCATCACTGACAACCACACGTGCGAGATTTTAACCTAAGAATTTTGGTCTCTCATGCGAACACTTAACCTCTAGACCATTGAGCCAGAATCCAACGGTACTAATATCTGACTTCAACCAATCCACAAAATTGCGCGACCATCTTCCGTTGTCTAAGGTAGATATCTGTCTCCACCCAACAGACATTGAAGCTGATGGTGATATGTTAAAAAAATCACACATATATTTTTATCTTCATTTAGTACACATAACGCCTGGTAAAACGGCCACTAAAGAAAGGAAATGTTGCACAAGTAATGAGATAAAACTGTAAACATAATGTAAAAGAAAAAAGAACAGTATTGAAATAAAGAATAAGGTAACAAGAACGGCATATAATAGGAGATACAGTTCATTTAGAAACATAAACAAGAAAAAACTACTTTCAGTTAAGGAATTTTTTCTCAAGTTGGTAAATAATGTATTCGAAAATTACGTCTGCGTTGCCGCTGGTTTCTACTTTGGTTCATGTCTGATAACATTCCAAGTCACCGTGATGCAATATCTCTAAGATCTTAACCATGGGTTGTGATGGACTGACAGATGTCTGATTTAAAAAAGACTTTCATACATCAATGGTATATCATTAACTGGTCAATTCTCTGCTTTTTTCAATCAGCCTCATTATGGGCAGTTGTGAATTATCACAATATAAAAACCACTGGAAAAACATTTGTTAAAAAAAACATTCAATATTCAAAAATACTCCTATATACCATTGAAAATTTAGGATTTTTACTTAAGAAATTGCTTTTATACTTTTAATTATTTATTATTAACTGTGTGAGGTCGGCCCACGGGTGAACTCATGGAAGATCTAAGAAGCTCAAAAAGAGACGAAGATATTCCATCCAATCGTCTTTTGGAAGAATAAGGACTAGACACGCATGACATTGATCGCCACCCAGTGATCAATAAATTGTGATTACATCTCAGTCCTACAGGAGGTCAGTCACGGCTCTGATAGCTCAGTGGTAACGTCTCTGACTGTGAAGCTGGGTGACACGAGGTCGAATCCGCCATGGAGCACTAGTTCCCTCAAGATTACAGGCACACCTTGCTGATGAGTGCCAAGTAGCACGAAACCCGTGTCCAGGGTTTCCTGTCGACTACCTCCAACCACCATTTAATCTCAATATATAGCGCCCGCAATATCGAGTCACCTAGACTGGTGGCTACATTGCAACATGGTCGATAGCATTCGATCTGCACTAACAAGGACTAGACACTCATGACATTGATCGCCACCCAGTGATCAATCAATTGTAATATTCCAGAATCCCTAAATGTAGCTTCCTTATTAGACAAATACTAATAACCCTCTGTATGCGAATTGGAGGACTATAGTGATAATTTCGTTTTTACTAAAACCTATGAATACCTAACAGTTTTATACCATTATTGACACTGTTTTTTTGAATAGCATTCCGTTTACTTATCACCTATCTTCTCATTTGCAATTTGGAGGGTTCTAGCGTTGTTGTTTTTTCTTAAATGATAAAGAAAATTTTAAACTTCAGAGAAATATATTTAGTACCGTTTAGTGTCCACTTCAAATTCCATTCAGAAATAGACATTGTTGATGTCTAAGACTATTTTTGTAAGCTTAAGAGTCAATCATATACTTCAAAGTAAGTTAGATTATCAAATATATCAACCGGAATTTTCAGTGGAAAAATTTTTTAAATTTAAGACACAATGTTTCGGGTTTTATAATAGTAAAAAACGATGTCTTCAGATAGGAGTTATGTAATCAAAGAATATTATTACACTATTATTTCAATCACTTTTATGGTAATCCAGAATCTTCTGTCTTATCCTTTATTAATAGTTGAATTCATGAGTCGATCTAAGCTAGACCATTGTTGAAAACCTAAAAACACTGAACGGTCGTTTTGTTCTAGTATGGGACTCCTGGAGTTCTAGTAAGAATCCATGAACAGTGAAGTCCAATCTGAGACAATTATTCACCTCATATAATGGATGAAAGGTTATGCAAAATCATGGGTTGATTAAAGTTAAACATTAACACCGTTGGAAGCCAGCCAGCTCAGTGGTTTAAAGATTAAACATTCTCAAGCGTGACCGAAGATTTTGGGTTCGAGTACCACGTTCGGTATCGTCGATACGTTCTGTTTAGCAGTCACATACTAGGACGAAACGTCCATTCAGTAATATCAGGTTTTCAATAGTGGTCTAGCTTAAATCGATTTATGAATTCAACTATTAAAATTACTACAGTCTCCGCAAATCCTCACTCCGATTATCCTGTTATGATATTCAGTGTCTACCAAACACTGAGTATAACTTTTCATGAAGTTATTTATTTAAAACTAATATGGAATAAAAACCCTACAGGGAAACTAAATAGTGTGCTGTAATTTTTGCTTCGTTCTATATAATATATTACTTTGTACTTGTTTTCTTGAATTTGTCAGCAAATTACTATGTTAATTGACAATCATTTATCGTGCGCTTTCATTTGTTATTCAGCTTTTTTTCTCATGATTTGTGTCCTCTTTACAATATACAACAACGAACTCCTTGTACGTAACAATATGACTTCGATTCACTGTCATGCCATTACACTTCTGTGATAGTAAACTGAAGTCAATAATGATCAACCATGTGAATTTTACTAAGCATACTGTATAAAAAGTCCGTTTATAGACAATGATTTATTTTCAAAACTATTAGTTCGAAAAATCTTTCTTGAAGAGTCTCTTGAAAAGTTGAGTATTTTATATAAATAACATTTTGCTGACGTGATAAAGTACAGTGTAAGAACTTACAACTAAATAGTGTTAAGCAAAGATGAATAGTGACTAGCAGTAGAAACTACGATGCGCGTTTCATCCTATTTGTGACTCGTCAGCTGGATGTACCTGCTAGCCACTATTCATCTTTGCTCAAAACGCTTGTGACTTAAGGCTATATTGAGGCAATCTGCACAGAATACACATATGCCAACAAGAGACTGATTAATTGCAATCCTAAATAACAATGGAAAGATTCAAGTAAAAAAAAACACCAAGTGAATTTAAACAATGTTAGATAAGAAAATCAATTTGTTAACAAATGAGTAATAATAATCTTTTTAGGTCATGTTTGATATTCAACCAAAGCTAATGTTAAAAATTACAATATTGTTTTCAACGAAATTGTCACCAATGAAGAGAACGTTTAGTGCAAGCCAACCTCTGTCTATTGTTCTCGAGCCGACTTATGAGGATTCCTTAACTAAAAGAAAACTTACCTGTTACATCTATGTATATTTACAAATTCAGCTGCTTCTGTGAACAAAACTATATTGGGCGCATAACCAGACAAGTGAACTAATGAGTTAGCGAACACCTTCCATCATGGTTAGGAAAGGGTATCCTTAAAACAATACGAAGCTTTGTTCTATCAACTTGATCAATAGCATTCGTGTAGTGTACAGAAATAGGTCATTTGAAGCGGTTTATCGTATTCCTACTAGCTTTATTTATGGGCTACGATATCGTCTCTTACGCATAGTAGAACTTATTTGGATTCAAGTGTTTGTATTCCTAAGAAATTCGTAGCGCCGTTATCTCTTCCTTAATAAAAGATTTTGTTTATTATTATTTTCCATACTCTTTGTTTGTTTATCTTTCTTCGCCTCCCCCCATTTTCCTTGTTTTTAAATATATGCTTTATTGTTCAATTATCTGAAGAATTCTTATTATGTTATAATCTTATGGTTTGTTTCAGCATCTATATTTTCTAAATCATTGACCTGTTTCCCATCGCAAACATGGATAGGATTCAAGGCCTTGTTTTCTTATCACAACTAGTACACCTGTCATTACACTATCAATTTGTACTGTTTATTTATTATGTTTATTTATGTAATCTATTCCACTGTTATCATTGATAAACTGCATCGGTTCAATAATTTCGTATATGCATATAGATACTTCAGTATATTTGAGTAAAGCCTAATAAGGATCTAATTGAAAACAATATAATTCACTTATATATACGTTGTTTTAATTGAAAATCAATGTGCCTTCCTTATTAAGAAATAAACCATCATGTTGAACTCTCTATTGATAGCATGTATTTGAAATCAATAACTTGAAGTTTTGATTATGCACTAAGTCTTCTACACTTATAAACGTCCGATACTTGATATATTCTGTACTGAGTTGAAACCATATCAATTGAAGGGGAAATATTTGTTGATTGGATTGAATGGAAAAACTATATATCCACTAGATTTTAGGCTCTAATCTCATTCAACTCATACTTTTATTAAATTGTAAGCTGGAAAGGATTGCCCAGGATAGGGTTGGATGGAGAATGCCGGTGAGCGACCTATGCTCCTTCACGAGGAGTAACAGGCGTAAGTAAGTAAGTTAAAATATGTATCTTGCAGATCACTGAGCTATGTTTATATAACAGGCAATACTTGTGCTTTTTGAATGATATACAATGTTTTATATTCAATCAATCCAACCGAATAGGGTTACTCTCAATAAAAAATAGATAGTTCGGTTAACATTTAAAGAGCCTAAGTTTTACCATTTAATGTCATTTACTATTCGAAATTGTTTATATATACTTGGACGAAACGGTCATCTTGTACTTCTAGGTTTTCAGTGGTGGTCTAACATTAATCGGTTCATAATTTTGATGAAATTCAAAAATCTCCAGAACCTCTTACTGCAAATGTTTATATTATTGTGCCATTGATATTCAGGACTGAGTTTTTATTGATTTTTGTTGACATCCAGAACAAATGTCTCGTTAGTGACATTTTACTAATGGCTTCAGTTAATTTGAACTGTGACTAAAAGGAGAATACATGAATGTAATGAAACGTACACTATTATTTGAATTTATAATCTTTTTAACAAACTGTTTGCTGCTATATATTTTTTAGAATAGTTTTCTAACAAAATGGACTATCCAGATCCAGATGCCGGTTATGTGGATGAAGATGAAGAAGAGATACCAATGGCTGAGAGGGAATTGGCTGAAGATGCTGAATGGAAGCTTATTCAAAAAAACACTTTCACTAGATGGGCAAATGAACATCTTAAACCTAAAAATGTTACTGTAGATGATTTACAATTTGATTTAGCTGATGGTCTTCGTTTGATTGCATTGGTTGAGTCATTATCTGGGCAACAATTTAAACATGTTAACAGAAAACCAAGTTTTCGTACTCAGAAATTAGAAAATGTTACAATGGTTTTAAGATTTCTTGAAGAGAATGAAGGTCTTCGTCTAGTGAACATAGGTAATTTATTTGGCATATTTTCGAATCCTTTTTTCTTGTATTTTTGTGTTAGTGATACCAATACTGACTGGTACTTATTAATAATATAGTTTCACTAAAATCATGAATACCTTAAATTAGATCTAAGTCTAGCTTGTGGATAATGTACGTTTTAAATTCTGAGGTAAATAAATATGTTTACCACTCAAAACATCGTAGCTATTTGTTTTCTAATTTATGAGATGGTGGAGAAGATTTTTAGCTCAAGTGGATGATTTTGACGGAATTCTGTTCTTTGAGCTAGATGGTTTGGTCGTGGAGCTTTCATTATTCTTCTGAACGACGTTTGTGCTGGTGATGTTGTTCAGAAGAACGATGAAAGCTCCATGACCAAACCATCCAGCTCAGAGAACAAAATCCTATCAAAATCATCCACTTAAACCATAAATCTTCTCCTTCATCTCTATTAACGGCTTTGTTTGAAGGGAAAGTTTACTTTTTAACAATTTGTACATTGATTTAACATCAGGTTCAGATAAAATCTGAACTTGAAATATTCTAGTTTTTGATGAAATTCCAAGAATTTTTGTACGAATTAGAGAATATTAGAGGGTTGGGAGTGATTGGGTCGAGATGCGCTTTACTTGGTGTCACAGTTTAGGATTTTACTATTAGACTATTCAAGATGAAGTTCATAGCTTGTATAGCTGTTTAGTGTTAACTGGATACGATCGATTCGAATTAGTAAGTGGTGTACTTTTTTAATATTTATTATGTTATCATTCACGAATCAAGTAGGAATGAGGAATATGGTCATATTTTACATTTGCCATTTCCCCATTATGCTTTTTGCACTCGATTATATGCTTCTCTTACATGTGATTTCTATCCGACAATGTTTTTATTAAATGATATAAACACACTTCATTATTATGGGCAATACATTTTAAGCTGGTAAAATCTTTGGATTCTACCAAGTTGTTGAACCTTGCTCAACAATATCCTACTCAATAGTTCGGCGGTTATTCATCCAAAAACCGAAGTGTGTCAATTTTATTTCTAGAAAAGAAGCAGTTATATAATTCACTGTATTTCCTCTATTTGAAGACTTCTAAGAAAATAAATCTACACTGGATTGGTTGAAGTTAGACATTAACACCGTTGGATGCCGATTAGTTCAGTGGTCAAGTTGGTTAAGTGCTTGGTGCGAGACTGATAGGTTCTGGGTTCGAATCTCACAGGGTGCGGGATCGTGGACGCGTGCTGCTGAGGAGTCCCATACTAGGACGAAACGGCCGTCCAGCGCCTCCACGTTTTCCATAGTGGTCTAGCTTCAATTGACTCATGATTTCAATCTGTGGAATTTCCAAAATCTCCACAAACCCCTTCTGAAAATAAATCTGCATTAATGTCTAACTTTAACCAATCCACGACGTTGCACCACCGTACACCATTGTCTTCAGTGAGTTACTATCTCACAACAGACCTGGTTGAACTCCACTGGTCACTGTTTCTCACCAGAACTCCAGGAGGTTTTCCTGAAGTCGGTCACTAGTGAGCAGTTGATTATTATCAGAATGGGTTATGTAGAGAGTTTTAGAAATTTCACAGGTTGAAATCATGAGTCGATTGAAGCTAGACCAGTGGTCTAGTGGTTAAGTGCTGGCGCGCGAAGCCAGTAGGTCCTGGGTTCGAGCCCTGCGTGGTGCGGGATCGTGGATGCGCACTGTTGAGAAATCTACATTACGTTAATAAATGCTTAAAACCCTGAATAATATAAACAAAACCACTTATCTTACTAAATGGCACATTGAATTCAACAGTTTATATGGAGGACTGATCTAAGTCAGATAGCCATTGAAAACTAGAAAGCACCGGAAAACTGTTTCGTTTTTTGTATGAGAATCCTCACAAGTACATATTCACCGCTCTATGCCGTAGTTTAGGTATTCACTAAAAGAACTGAAGGTCAGGAGTTCGGTACCCAGTAGGTTTGTGAGTTCTCAATATTAAAGAGTTTTATACCATAAAGAAATAGCTGTTCAGTTCTTTCCGGTTTTTAATGGTTGTTAACTTATTTCAGTCCATGATACAAATTCTATGACCCCAACAAAACCTTCATTATAAAAATCATAATCAATCCTATAAGTTATCTAATTTCATAAGCCTTTAATTATCATATTTATTTTAAAATTTATTAAACACTTCTATATTCTTTTCTTTATACAGATAGTTCAGATATTGTTGACTGTCGTAGTAAGCTTATACTTGGTTTAATTTGGACTCTTATTTTGCATTATTCAATAACAATCCCACTTTGGGAAGGTGAACCTGATTTCGGAGTGAGTTGAAAAAAAAGTATTATTCCTTGATTTTTCTGTTGATAGGCATGATGAAAATAGTCATTCCAATGAACATCATCTTTTTAATTTCAACTCCTATCAGGTCATTAACTATTCACCGCTGAAAAATCACTAGAAATTTATCATCATAAATTTTAAAATGTTTTCTTGTTGCTCAGTATTAATGCAATGGGTGTTACTCATACGATTGCTTGTAAGTTGTGTGTAGTGGAACATGACTTCGAAGTTGCTGCGGTTGTCAGACGGAGCTAAGTATTTCAATGCATCAAAAGCATGGCATTAGCATAATTCGTAGAGGTTAAACGAGAAGACTGTTCAGTATTGTACAACGCGAATGGCATATTGATAACATATATATATCTACTAAAATTCAGTTTGAAATGATTTGGTTTATTCCAATGCTAATACTTTGACTGAAACTTGAACGGGATAAACGAAACCAAGAAGTAAGTAGCTATCTGAACTCAGAAGTTGAGTGAGTAACACGATGGTGTTTGAGGTTAATAATGTCAGGTTTGAATTTCAGAGTAGACATCAACTCGGGGATGCAAGTACACTCAGATGACAAAACTTAAGTCCTGGATTCCATTGCTAACTTTATCCCATCTATTCTATATGACTACGATGGTTTATTTTATGGATCCAAATTATGTAAAACGTACGAGCCTCCTTTCCCTTTTTGGTGAATGCCGTGAATGTGCACTGCTTAAGAGTCCCACAATAGGACGAAATGGCCGTCTTGTACTTCCAGGTTTTCCATGGTAGTCTAGCTTTAACTGACTCATGATCTCAACTATTAAAATATTATTTGTCATTGTTTTCAAGGAGAAATAAATTTGATGCATAAACGAGCCATTTTGATTGTAAAAAGTACGTTATACAGAAATCAATTTCATTTGTAATAACGACAAAACGATACAAGACAGGTTTAAGGGATATATATACATATGTATATATTGTTGTGCGTGTTTGAACAGTTCATTCATAATAAATGATAGATTGAAAAGTAGGAAAGTTAACAAAGTTTTTAATATAAAACATAAGATTTGAAAATGGTTTTCATTATAAGTTAAGTTTAACTGAATATTTATAGAAGATAAGAAATCCATTGAAACAGATTCTTCCTAATATATGTTACTTTCCTAGAAACCAAACTTACAGTGTTACACAAATCAAAATTCAATTCCTTCACTTCTCACGATGTTTATTGTACACTTAGAACACAAAATAGTAACCCATTTCTTTTCAGTTTTACATACATACTTATTTACTTACGCCTGTTACTCCCGATCGAACATAGGCCACCGACCAACATTCTCCAATTCACTCTGTCCTCGGCCTTCCTTTCTAGTTCTATTCCATTTTTGTTCATTCTTCCCATATCTGTATCTATTTCTCGGCGTAACGCGTTACTTGGTATTCCTCTCCTCCTTTGGCCTTCGGGATTCCATGTGGGGGCTTGCCTTGTGACGCAGTTGGATGCTTTCCTCAATGTGCGTCCTATCCACTTCCAGTAGTTCTTCCTGATTTCTTCCTCCGCTAGAATCTGGTTTGTTTACTGCCATAGTAGGTTGTCACTGTCTGATAGTGTCTGGCCAACGGATACGAAGTATTTTGCGTAAACAGCTGTTAATAAATACTTGTATCTTCTGGATGATAGCTTTCGTAATTCTCCAAGTTTCCGCCACATACAGTAGAACTGTTTTGACATTTGTATTAAAATTCCTGACCTTGGTATTGATTGACAGATGGTTGTTTTGAGTTCCAGGTGTTCTTCAGCTGTAGATTTGCTGCTCTTGCTTTACCGATCCACACCTTCACATTTGCAATAAATCCACCATGTTCATCAATGATTCTATCCAGATATGTAAACGTTTTTACATCCTTCAATTTTAGTTTCTGTCAATTTATTAAAGATAGTACTGTAGTTCAATAGACAACTATCACCTCCATTCAATTTCGTTACCAGATTACAAATAGTAACTAAATAATACTACAGAAATATAAAGAAGTACTTCAATCCATCAATTAATTAATCAATCAATCAATCAATTTAATTTCAATAAATTCCTCATTGTAGTTTTGATTTGTTTTTCTTCGGTTAGTTGCTTTTCCTAAAGATGGAACTAAAGTTGATTTATGGATTTAATGTTCTTTCTTTTTTTGTTACTATCGACGATCAACAGAGATTTATTTCCTTTGAATGGGTACAATACAGTTTGTCATGTTTACGCCCACAACACAATAAAATGTAATGTGTGTGTATGTGTGTGTGTATATGTGTGTATGTGTGTGCATATTATGGTTTCCATTCAAAATGCCAATAAATGACTGTTATTAAATTCATTCTATTACACTTTATTTGTTTATTCTATATACTAAGTTGATAAATTAAAAAAAAACTGTACATCACTAAGTACTTGGCTAAATGTAGGGGCAATATCTAGTTATGATGCTTGTGTCACATAAATATTCACGCCTGTATTTACGTACGTATATACATGTATATATATATATATATATATATGTATGTGTGTAAGTTGGCCTGTTGTCGGGACTAGTTCAGTTTGATCAATGTTTTGCAGTTGATTTCTAATAATCCTAGACGAAAGTTAATTCATTGATTTTTTTTTTGCTCTAGAAAACACTTTACTATTCAATATAGTTAGTTCATCATTATGACCGTAGTCAGGCGTTTCCTTCCGGTTGATGATATTAAATTGAAATGAGGTATTATTACGAATAGAAATTGATTTATTGGATAAAAATAATAAAATTATAATGGAAATAATAAAAACCAGGTCTGTTGTGAGATAGGAACTCACTGAAGATAATGGTATACGGTGGCGCAACTTCGTGGATTAGTTGAAGTTAAACATTAACACCGTTGAATGACGATTAGCTCAGTGGTTTAGTTGGTTAAGCGCCTGGTGTGAGACTGATAAGTCCTGGGTTCGAATCTCGCGGGAGGTGGGATCGTGAATGTGCACTGCTTAGGAGTCCCACAATAGGACAAAACGGCAGTCCAGTGCTTTCAGGTTTTCCATGGTGGTATAGCTTCAACTGACTCATGATTTCAACCAGTGAAATTTTATATAATTATTCAATAGCTATTAATCAGTATGAGACAATGATTTGTTATTAATTGAAATGATTTCAAGTGATATTCTATTCAGAGATTAGCATATTAAGTAAACTGAGTTAAAGGGATTGAATGAAGATATGTCTTGTCAGTGTTTTCCTCAAAAGTGTTCATAGTTGATTACCAATTAGAAGTAGTCAACTAGAGATCTATGACCTAGTAAAACACATTAAAAGAAAAGGATTTTGAGATAGCCAGAATTTCAGTGTGCCTGTAAGGAATCAAATAAACATCTTTAAAGAATATTACCACTGTGACATATCTAGGTGATCATACAGACAACAGACTGAATCGTTAGTCCTAAGTAATATCTGAATTTTTCCAATCAAGTTTAAAGATGTTAAGTGTTTAGATAATTATTTAATTGTATACAAAGTGAAACCAATATTACTTTCTGAGTTCTACTGATCAAATGGCTAAGCATAAAAGATAATGAACATTGTTAAACTCTACTGATCATAGCTTCTCACTAGTACTTAAATAATACTTTTCCGAAAATATGTATAGCATTGTATTCACAAGTGATTGATCATTGGGTGATGATCAATATCATGTGTGTCAAGTCGTTCTTAGTGTAGATCGAATGCTATCGACCAAACTGGATGACATGGAGAGTAACAGTTCTCTCAAGATTGCAGGTACATCTTGCTGACGAGTACCAAATGACACGAAACCCGGGTTCAGGGTTTCCTATCGACTACCTCCAATCACAATTTTATGTCATTTGTCACTTAATAAGCCAAACGTATGTATCAAGCATTTATTAAAATGACTTTAACGAAATATTCCAAATATCATTTTCATATTCTGTTTATTTTCGTGGTATGAATCACTAGTTGACAATAGCTAAAGAACATGATAAGTTATTAGCTCTATTTTGTCATGGAAATAAATAAATGTCAATTCAAAAAATGTTTATTATGTGATTTGTTTACCTTTAGAGGTTTTGTAGATGCAGATATAAACGAATTATGAATCCAACAGTACAACCATTAGGACCGAAGTTATTTTACAATTACATAGAAGATAATTTTATGGTTAGCTTATACTCACATAAATATCCATATAAAAACACAATATTTCTTTTGCTTTCAATCATTATTTGCTGCACCAAATGTAAAGTGTGATTGGTTTTTTTTGTTATTGGAGATACAATAATTTGTCATAAGGGGTTTTGTGGAGATTTCTGTAATTTTAATAGTTAAAATCATGACTCAATTGAAGCTAGACCACCATGGAAAACCTGGAAGGCCGTTTCGTCCTATTGTGGGACTCCTCAGCATTGCGCACCACAGTTCCACTCCCTGCGAAACTCGAAACCAGAACCTATCAATCGTGGGGGGCGGGATCGTGGATGCGCACTGACGAAAAGTCTCACAATAGAACGAAATAGCCGTCCAGTGCTTCCAGGTTTTCCATGGTGGTCTAGCTTCAATTGACTTATGATTTCAACAATAATTTGTGTCATTTTTGATCGTTTTTTTGGTGGTTAGAAATGTGAAAATAATGAATTATATTTATTTCTAATAAGCTTTACTTAATTAATTGATTTGGTTATTTGTTATCTATTTTGTAGGCTCAAGGTCCAACACCAAAACAACGTCTCTTATCATGGTTAAATAATAAATTAGCTGATCGACCAGTTAAAAATTTCACAACAGACTGGAATGATGGTATTGCAATCGGTGCACTAGTTGATGCTTGTGCACCAGGTTTATGCCCTGACTGGAGAGAATGGGAACCTAAACAAAATCTACGTAATGCTCGTGAAGCAATGGGTGCTGCTGAACAATGGTTAGATGTCCCACAATTAATACGTCCAGAAGAGATGACCAATCCTAGAGTTGATGAAAAAGCTATGATGACATATTTAAGTCAATTTCCTAGTGCTAAATTAAAAGATGGTGCACCTTTAAGGCCAAAATCAAATCCTGGCCTTGTTCGAGCTTATGGTCCTGGTAAGTAGATACACTTGTCTTGATATAATTGGTAAATAATTATTTTAACCATTAAAGTTACATTTATCAGATTATATCCTGCTTTCTCATGCTTATTTTCTTTTTTTATTTCAAAACACTCAGTACAGACTTATAGGGTCGACTGACTCAAAATTCAGGAACAGATTTTAAGCCAGATATTCTAATAACTACCCTAATAAAATTTTAAATACAATGATAAGGTTTAGTATAGGGTTGTGGAGATTGTTGAATTTCATCTAAGTCATGAACAAATCTAAGTTAGACCACCACTGAAAACCTGGAAGCATTGGACAGCCATTTCGTCTTAGTGTCAAACCACACAACTCCTTATTGACAATTAACATGTGTTTGCAATTGACTAGCTTCAAGGGGTAATTGCCGGAGTCCTAGTGAGAAGCTGTGACCAGTGGGGTTCAACTGTGTCGGGTATGAGGCCGTTACCCATCGAATACAATGGAAGATGTTCACGCAATTGGTTGAAATCGGACATTACCACGGTAGGATGCCGGCTCACTGGTTTTAAGTTTGGACTTTCGCTCGAGATAGAAGATCCTGGGTTCGGGTTCGACGTGAAGGATCGTGGATGCGTACTGTTGATAAGTTCCATACTAGAACGAAACAACCGTCTAGTGCTTTCAATTTTTCAACAGTGAAAACAAGTGCTATTGAGCACTTATTTCTTTCTATTAAGAACAAATAAAATTAATACCAAGCAAAACATACATTTGTATAGTTACTAAAATCAGCTTTTTCTTAAAGTGATAAAAAAATTCAGGGTTTGTATTTCTAAGGAAAATGAACCCTTTCTACATTTGAAACATTCAGGTGAACAAACAAAGTTGAGTAAAGAAATATTTATTTCTTTATATTGTTTTTTTATAATGACTAAAAACTTGTGTTCAAAGGTTCTACAATTATTTAATTGATCTGTGACCTCAGTGATCTTAAGATCACGCACTTGTTGTTCGTCCTGAATGTATTTATCTTGACTCCATCCGGGGTTCCAGGTTACGACTGTGGACGATTATCATACTATGACCAAATAGCTGTGAATCCCTCTTAGTTCATGATGGTTTTCAAGTTAAAATCTATCCCTAAAATTTTTTGGTGCAAACACTACTAAAGTACAAGTAGAAAATAAGCAGTAGTAGTAGTCTTTTGCACAAATCAACACCCATGGCTAACTACATAATGATAATGATACAGACAACAATTTACCGGTTAGTGAAAGGCTTTCTGTTTAACAAGCAAATAAACTATCTCAGTCTAAATATTATTAATTTTAATATACTTTTTCAGTAAGCCCATTTTATTGACAGATTCTGAATAAGTATGGAGTCAGTATCTTTAAATGGGGATAATAGGTTAAGAAAAGAAGGGAGACAAAAGAAAACTCTTCTTTAGTAGTTTACAGAAGCTCAGAAATATATTAACCAAAATTAATCAAATAGAAGTCAATTTTCACAATTGATTGATCACTGGGTGGTAACCAATGTCATGTGTGTCAAGTCCTTATTAGTGCAGATCGAATGCTATCGATCATGTTGCAAAGTTAATTTTGCCTTACTTAATCCTCAATAAACTATCTATCACTTTTGAAACAAGATCATTCAACAGTTACTAGCATAGTGTTGTACTCTTTATTTCATATTAAATAATGTAACGAAATTATTGTCACTGTATAACAATGGTCTGAATCTATAATTATAAACTATTCCATAGGTTTTTGTAGGCAATGACAGATAGTGGCCAGCAGTGGAATCCAGGACTCGGGTTTCATCCTATTTGGGACTCGTCAGCTGGATGTACCTGCATCTCAGAGCTGATGTTCACTCTGGGACTCGAACCCAGTACCATTCGCTTCAAACGCCATCGCGTTACCCACTTAGCTACTGAGTCCTTATAGCCACTTGCTTGTGCAATGGGGTAAATTTCAATTCACTTGGTATTATTTGGCTTGTATCTTCCCATTTAGTTTTAAGACTGCAATTGATCAGTCTGTTATCGGCATATGTTTGTTTCAATAAACATGAAGTATAATTTCACGGCCGCTTAACCATTGTAATTATTCCTGCATTAAATATAATCATATAAATACTGACTAGTGGACAATCTGTGTTTTTTTTTTAACTGAAAGGAAATTATTACTTCATTACTGTGTGCATTTCCTGACGACATATATTGATGAATAACAATGTATAGATGTCTAAGTGATTGATAAAATCTACCATTGTGATATATAACAATAAATGAGATGAATTCTTAGGTGGTTTTATACAACTCTGTCACTATGCAACAAAGGAACAAGATTAGTCGTACACAAATTCATGTATATTAAATATAATGCATTCGTTTTGTCTAGAAATAAAAAGTCATTATTAGCCCAATCTGTAAAGATGACGTAAACAAACAATTTGAATGATTAAGATTACTTCTCTTTCTTTCATCATTTCCCAATAAATGTGATGTTCTTACATATTTATAAGATTCATTAATGGTTTTTGCCATGGGTTGATATCATTTAACATACCACTGAAAATTAGAGTTCACTGGATAGATGTTTCATCATAGTTCATAAGTCTTCAGGATTGTACGTCTAAAACCCTACTAATGACCAGACTCTATAAAACGCGTCAACAATACTATAATCATGTAGTCATTATTGATTGGTTTCAAGATAATCTAACAACTTAATCACCAACACAACTAAATGATCGTCATTTTATATCACAAACTGATTGAAGCTGAAATGTGTTCCATTTTGGATTCTAACTCATTAGTTTAAAAGTTGAACACTCACCACGAGAAATTGATGTCCTGGATTTTTATGTTCCCTAGCTTTGTGATTTCTCATTGCTGAGGAATCTCATACTATTGGAGAACTATCAGTTCAGTACTCCTCAATTTTCACTAATGCACTAACTGATATCAGTCTGTGATGTAATCCACTGAAAATTCATTTGGTATTATTTGTATGCATCCTCTCATTGTTGTTTAGGACTGCGATTGATTAGTCTCTTGTTGGTTTATGTGCATTTTGTGTACACTGGCTCGATGTAGTCCTAAATCACAAGCTTTATGAGCAAAGATGGATGGTAGCTAGCAGTGGAATTCAGGACGCACATCTCGTTTTATTTAGAACTCGTCATTTGAATGTACCTGCATCACAGAGTTGATGTTCACTCCGGGAGATGACCACAGTACCGTTCGCTTTAGGACTCAATAGCTCAGTGGATAACGCGATAGAATTTACAAGCGAACTGTCCCAGAGTGAACATCAACTCAGTGATGCAGGGACGTCCAGTTGACGAGTCCTAAATAGGACAAAATGCACTTTCTGGACTCCACTGCTAGCCACCATCTATCTTTGCTTATAAACCTCATCAAGTTACAGGACTTGTTAAAAATGGGTAAGTTATTTTGAAGCTGTAATCAACATAAATCTAAACATTCATTCATAAATAAACATTTTAGAAGTCTAAACATTTCTAATGATGTTACCAATGGTCATTTATTTGTCTGTATTTAGCCAAAGCTAAATATTAATAAAAGATTAAGTGTACACTTATACATGGGTAACCTAATATTTAATGTAAATTCCTTTACATTTTCCAAATTAATGTTCAATAAAAATTCACCATTATGACAAATGATCCTATCTACTTCAAATCACTTCATGTTTACAATGAAACTAAAACAAAATTCAATTCATAAATTAGTTGGTTAGCATATAATTTATAAATTTGGCAATGATAGATTATAGTTGAATTCATGAGTCACTTTGAAGCTAGAACACCATAGAAAGCCTGGAAGCAGTGGAAAGTGACTCAATTTCGTGGATTGGTTGAAAGTAGACATTAACAGCGTTGGATGCCGGTCAACTCAGTGGTCTAGAGGTTATGCGTTCGCGCACGAGACTGAAAGGTCCTGGATTCGAATCTCGCGGGGCGGGATCCTGCAACACAATTCTGAGAAGTCTCATACTATGATAAAACAACCGTACAATACTTTCAGGCTTTCCATGGTGATCTAGCTTCCATTGATTCACGAATTCAACTATAAAATTATTAAACTTTCCACAAAATCCCTTTCTGATAACAACAGATTATGAAAAGGGTTTTAGTGAATATTCTAGTGATTTCAATCGTTGGGATCATGAGTCAATTGAAGCTATACCACCATGAAAAACTTGAAAGTACTGGACGGCCATTTCATCTTATTGTGGGACTCCTAAGCAGTGCACATCCACGATCCCGCCTCCCGCGAGATTCGTACCCAGGACGTATCAGTCTCGAGCGTGTACGCTTAACCACTGAACCACTAGGCCGGCATCTTTTCTGATATGAATTAGCATTTGCTCACTAGTGACTGGCTTCAAGAGTTATTTCCTAGAGTTCTATTGAGGAACAGTGACCATTGGAGTCAAAGACAACATGCTGAATGTTCCGTTTATTCATAGATTAGTTAAAATAATCTATTCACTTCATTGCCTCAACATGTTTAATAACATTTATATCCCTTCCAAATTCTAACCATTAATCATTTATAATAATGAACAAATAAATATAAATAGAATTAACTTAGGAAAAACCCCTTTTTGATTTTAACAATATTAAATCACTGTATGACCTTGAAATTAGTCTGATATCATTGTACCATTTCCTTACTCAATAATAATAATCATAATCTATCAATGTATTCTAATGAAAATCTAACATAGAAATTAAACACCCCAAAAAAATTATTACAGAAAAATTAAAAAAAAACAACCAAGGAACCAATTAAAATTTGAGTAGAATTGAATTAACCAATTAGAAAAAAGGGGAAAAAAATTGTTAAAATTAGTTTAGAAACAGCATAAAAATACAGTAGTACATTTACATTTTTTATATTTAAAAAGACATTTATTTAAGCAACATATATATTTGAATAATATGGATATATCTATTATACCAAGTATGAAATGATCTATTCGCGAA